TGTCTGTACGCACACACATAGACATATATATTTGCGTGTGTGTGCATGTATCTATATCCACGTATGTGTTTCAATTCGATACTGAAACCATTTAGTTTCTGTCAATGAGCCAAATGGTCACAGTTACTGAATTAAAACAAAATGCAAACACGAATTTGGGATTGATTTTCCTTCTTACTGATTTGTAGGTTATTTAAAACCGAAATCTATATAAGATGGTAGGATATTACTTACAGCAACCGATGGTCCCTCGCGGTCTCTCATCTAACCGGTATTGATAAGTTTTAACTACGGTGATCGAACGAGATCTGCTGTTTACCGCGTAAATTGGCCACGCATAAACTTTGGAAGTCTATTTATGATTTTGATTGGGATGAGCAACAACTTATTCGAAAATTGGAAAATACAATGCATAATAAAACTGACAAACATTGTCGGTTGAATTTAATACGTTTTCTTTAAATGATTTTTTGTTGTTTAAATATAGTTTCTTTCTCTCCTCTCAATTTCCATCTCGCTTTTTTATTACTCCAAACCTTAGTTCCATCCTTGGTATGACGATAAACTACGTCCAACAGCAAGGCCTCTGATCAGGAGTTTTTGAGGAGCGTGGAACCTCCTCTTAATTGCTGGTGTTCCCAGGTCCACCCTGACCCGGGGTGGTAGCACCTGTTAGGGTTCCAGCTATGGACAAATAGTTGACCCCTAAACTTGTGTAAAAGTAGGTTTTAATACCAGAAATACTTTGTAATATAAAAGAAATATTACCAACAATAATTTTTGAAGGAAAAATTATTATCAGCAATACTTAAAAAAAATATACCAGCAATACAAACAGTTATACATTCTTTGAAAAAAATATGACCAGCTATAGATTTCTTCAAGAAAAAAATATTCCAAGAAATAGATTTTTGGAGAAAAACATATGACCAGCAATAAAAACTGTCGGCATTAAATAACCCATTGAGGTTGATATGACGTAAAACAAACCAAACCAAACCAAACCAAACCAAACCAAACCTTATTTATATTTGGAAACAGTCTGACAGAGTAACGTTTAAATTATATATTTACAGAAAGCACATTTACGTTTCGGGGATGAAACTGAAGCTAGCAGATATAGATTCGTAAAAGTCCCAACGAAAATTGTGCTTTCCGTAAATACGTAATTCAAACCTCGGTAGTCGTCCAATCTGGTAGCACAGCAGTTTGGCTCAAAAACAGAGATGCAAGTTCAATTCTTGTCGGAAGCACAGTGTCTCTTTAGTAGAACTTCTTAACTAAGGCCAATTGTTATTAATTTCACTGTTTAATAAAATTAAAAAAGAACAGTTATAGCAACTGAAACACGTGCCCCCACTAAAAATAAAGTTTTAATAATAAGAAATAACGTCAGCTCAAAATCGATATTTCGGACCAAACAATATCACACAAATAAGTGGATAAAAATTTTACCAGGCACCTGATGAGTTAGAACCGAAATATCGGTTCTAATGAAATTTTAAAGTCTTCGTTTTCATAATAATTATTATTTGCTCTGTTTTTATATTGAGCTCTCTCTGGGTCTATATTCTTTTTGGAATTATCCATACGGATTACCAAAATTTCAAGCACGTTTGTGACTGATACGTCCAATGTGGGACAGACGTTCACTGTCACAGCAGTTGCAATGGAATGTCCGGCCTGGACTCGAGGGCATATCGTTGCAGTACTTCCTCTTCTGCATCTTGTCGCTGAGAGCGGCCCAGCAGGTATTTCCAAAGAAGGAAACGAAATATATATATATATATATATATATATATATATATATATATATATATATATATATATATATATATATATATATATATAATTGTGCACTTGTGTAATGGTTGTCAAACTTGTTTCACTAGATCAATTAAAAGTTGGTACCGAGTGCTTCATACTTTTGGCCGCGTGCCCAACTCTAAGCTATGTTTAGTAAATCCCGATATATATAAATAAATATATATGTGTGTGACTTTTATAGTCTTACGCATATAACATTACACTATTTCGAAGTAGTTTTTTAATTCGCATAAAAATAATATTTTTTGATTATTTACCCATTTAAAATCTATTTCACGCAGAGTGATTTTCAAAGTGGGCGTTTGTTTTCTTTAAACATTGCCGACTTCTGTAACCCTTTCCCCTGTTTTCAAAAGGAATGCGTCATATAAGGATTGCTTAGAAAGTAATGCCTATTATTTTACTATGTTAACTGCACAGCATCAGATGTGCATTTTGATTGTGTAGCAGCAGATATTGAACCTTTCCGTCAATAACATGTTTTGCCTTTTTACAGTCAGCAAATGGGCGGTAATCTGGTAATATAGCGTCTGAAATTAAAATGAATACGAAATAGTCTATTCATATCTATCTATCTATCTATCTATCTATCTATCTATCTATCTATCTAAGTCTATTCATATCTATTTCAATTTTTTCAGATCTATCTATCTATCTATCTATCTATCTATCTATCTATCTATCTATCTATCTATCGAAGTCTATTCATATCTATCTATTTCAATCTTTTCAGATCTATCTATCTCAGTCTATTTATATCTATCTATCTATCTATCTATCTATCTATCTATCTATCTATCTATCTATCTATGTCTATTTATATCTATTATCTATCTATCTATCTATCTATCTATCTATCTATCTATCTATCTATCTATAACTATTTATGTATCTATCTATCTATCTATCGCAAATTGAAAACACAATTCGATTGGCGATCAGTTGTTCTCTGTTTACCTACTGTTTCTGAATAGAATGTCGATCGATCAATGTTTAATTTAATCAATCAAACTCTTGCTGTCGATTACGTTAGAACACTTTCAAATACTCAAAGACATTTTTAACTGCATTTCTTTCGACGTTCTGTTTCCATGTCGTCTGTTTTGTCACCTTTCAGATTCCTTGAAGGACGCCCAAGAAATGTCATCTCGTATAATTTCAATTGATAAGAAACAGAGAAAACAGATTTTTCTAGTACGTGAATGTAATTTAGAGGAGGTAGATCAGTTGCTTGTAAGAAACACTAACCCTGCCCTTTGCTTACGAAAAACCTATTAAAACCCTATAATTACATCGATACGAAATCTTTTAAAAATGCTTTACCTGCAGATAAGATACGTCCTGTTCAGTGAGGACTTTGTTAATATATTGTCTGTGCAAAAGTTTCCATCGCAAAACTGCTTTTCAAGTGTATATTCAATCTGGAGGTTTTAACTTGTCTTGTCTATTAGCATTCCACTAAAGCAATGCAATGAGAAAAAGGGAGGGCGATGCTGAGCAATTCTCTCCTATTATCTGAGCCACGTTGCATAAATCCTGTAAAAATGACTGCCACTATTTTTTATATGTGAAATGATGGGCTAATGAATGAGTTTTAAGTTATTTTAAAAATAAACTTTTTTCTTCATCCAGGGTTTCATATTCGGAAGGCTCTTGGATAGAAGATAATAAATTTTATTTTGTTGTGCTAATAGGAATAAAAATTGATTTTACTATTTTTGTTTGTTATGGAAAACAAGATTATATCCCGTTTAGATTTTTAATCAGCATACATTTTCCTGTCAAAAACGCTTAAGCATCTTGAGCAAATACCACACTAAATATAAAGAGAAACTTCTTTTATTAATCAACAAAATCTTACATGTATTTTTATAATCCTTTCATCCGAAGCAAGGTAATAAATCCACTAAGACACAAGGGGTTACTGAGTTCGGAGAATATGAGAAAAATACCATAAAGAGAGGGAACAATAAAAGAACAGAAGATAATGTTTGATATTGCATTTACATTTTTGAAGATCAACGTTGATTGAAAAGTAAGAAGCCGGAAGAGAGTTCCACAAGTGAGAAGTACGACAGAAGATACTGTTAGCATAGAACTTACGGTTCTATCTAGCCATGCCAACTGTAAAAAGATGGCAACTTGCTGCCAAATTGGAACTACTCCTAGATTCGTGAAGTCGAGATACCAAAGAGGAAAAATTAAGTAGAACATTTACATGAAAGTATTTATAGAAAAGGCACAGAGCAGCTACATTATGTCGGTGGGAAACAGAATAAAGCTGAGATGCCAGGTCAGGATCAATAACATTGCGGATTCTTCTTTGTATTTTATCAAGTATCTCTAAATGCATAACAGAAACACCAGATCAGATGTGGCAGAAATGTTCAGCCTATAGACGATTATATAATTACAAATCATTACTTTATTTTCTTTCAATAATTTTTACAAAAAAAATCATTTTATTGATAGGAGACCTATAAGCGATGTTACAGAATATCTATACTTAGTATTTTTAGAATCTGTTTCATTTAAACATATCTTGCCTAAAAACTCTTATCTTAGATATTTCAACGGTGTTTTATTAATATATCACTCAAATAAAACCTTATTATTGTTTTGGCTTGTTTAGGGGTCAGAAAAGAAAGACAGGGAAGATGAAGGTAGATTGAACAAGTAGATTGAAATATCAAACATATACAAAGCAAGAGTGTTAATAATAAGCAGGTAGAGGTCTGCCCGATGTTTACTCATTCCCCCCACGAGAATGAGATGTGACACAAGGTCGGATTAATGTGGGGTCTACGCTCCCCAACCGACTCTCGCAGTTAGTATTTATAAGAGGAAGAATAGTTCATTCTACTGTAGGAGGGTTTACCCCAACAGAGGAAGAGTTCATTCTACTGTAGGAGGGTTTACCCCAATAGAGGAAGATTTCATTCTACAGTAGGAGGGTTTACCCCAACAGAGGAAGAGTTCATTCTACTGTAGGAGGGTTTACCTCAACCGAGGAAGAGTTCATTCTACTGTAGAAGGGTTTACCCCAACAATTTCAGATGTGAATAATATCAATCTCCCTACCGAATTCACACAAAAAGAAGAAATAAACAACACTTTACCTTTTAATCTCACTTTATTAATCCGGAACAATAAAAAAAAAATTAGAGACTTAAGGCCGTATCACGTTGAAACACCGGTTCCCGTACGAACACCGAAGTTAAGAAACGTCAGCACCTAGATGGGTGACTGCTTGGGAATACCAGGTGCTTTAAGCTTGGGTGTGCGGGTGGTGTAATGTATAACGACTCGGAATTGTTAATCGGAGAGCTGAGTTCCAATCCCGTTTGGGTTCGTTATATTTTACACACGCAAATCCTCTTGCGAGAGATAGGAATACACTTATTCTCCCCAAGCTATGGGTTAATTAGTAAAACTTTTATCACTAAGTCTTTAGGTATCTCCCCCCCAATTTTTTTCTGGCTTTAAATAACCTGCAAAAGGTTGATAAGCCGTAAAAAATATCTTAAATATCTCGCTTAAAGTATCTCTTAAAAAATAACAAATTAGATTTCAAGATTTACTATAAAACCAACAAATAAAGATGACGTAATTAATTTTGATTCCTATTACAACAAAATAAAACCATGATTAATGACAGGCTTCTATTGAAGAGTCTTTAGAATATACAGCTCCGAATATCGCGATGAAGAAGAAAATTATGTCGGAAAAAAAAATCTTATGTTTAAAAAATAGATGTTATTAAAATACAACTCAATATCATTAAGTTCCTTTTTTTTTTCTGTTGTCAAATATTTTAAGTTCATGTCATTGACCTCTAGCTCAAAATTGTTTTAAATATTCCACTAAGAAAATTTTAAAATTTTTTTCTTCGACGTTTTTCTTCTGTTTTCTGAAAAGACATTTTTATTTGCTTACACGGCATGTACCACAACCGGAAAAAGAAAAAGAAAAAGAAGCATGAAATGGCGTCAGCACAGACAGAACCATCAATTACATTAATTCGCAGGAGAAAAGAAAAAAACTGGAAGTTTTAAAGTTGCAGTTGGGTCATCCTTTTTGCAGCTGTTCGTAAACTGATCTTGGGAGGAAGCCTGTCCGTGAGACGGGAGAAGGCGTGGGAACATGGCCCCCGGATATTTTAACACCATTTGCCGAAAAACATTCTGGGCAGAATTTCTTGAATGTACGTGGCGCCTTTTTGTGTACACATCTGCCTTCATGAATCAATCGCTTTCCGAGCCAATCCTTGCAAATCACTTTCTCAGATTCGCGGCATTTGCGGGAAATAATAAAAAGTTAACTGATTATTTTCAATGGAAGAAAAATATTGTACGTTTGTCTTCCGAACTGCCGACCATGTTTCACTTATACGGGAGTTTAGTTTTCTTTTTCTTCTTATAGAAAATTGTTTCAGCAGAACACAGGCATAAAAAGAAACCCCCCAAAAACAAAACAAAACAACAAAAAAAAAAAAAACCCGGAAAGGGCAAGGAAAGAAAATGTAAGATCCATTCTTGATTATATTTCAGAAATAAAAAAAAATCAAAGAGTTGGTTGATTGATTTTGTTTAGCTGAATATCAACACCTCTATGGGTTATTTAATGCCGAAATATAAACATTTTTTGTATATAATTTTATACTTTCAGAGTAAATATATATATATATATATATATATATATATATATATAAAATCTCAAAAAGTTTTGTTGGTAATTTTGTCATAAAATGTATTGTTCCTCATTTTATTATAAAATGTACTGTTTATTTTTGTTTGGTGGTTCTGTTGTAACCTAGGAAAGGTCACTGAATAGAATAATCAAAAGAAGGTTGGTAATGAACGATAATACTTAGGACAAGAACAACACATACAAGATTCACCAGCGGAGCGTAAAAAAAGTAGTCAACTGCTACAAGTGAGTCAAGTGAATTCCACAATGAATCTCTGACTGCAGGATATCAACCAACCGCTCCACGAGCTCAGATGTGGCACAAGGCCGAATTTAATGTGGGGTATCCGAGTCCGTAAGCTCGGCCAAAAATACCCCGTATAAAATGTGTTCGGGTAGCTGTTTCCCGAGACGAGCCTCTACCCTTCGGTAGAGCCTCGTCTGGGGATCCACTCTGACCAAAGACAGAGAGTTTGACCAGCTCAGCTGGAGATGAATCTCCAACAGAAGACCAACATACAGTATTTACTACTGTGCTTATGTGAATGGGGACATACCCATTATCGTCCGTTAGTTTTGCTAAAACAGATTCACTATTTAGCCATAGCTGGAGCCTAACATATGCTACCACCCCTGGTCAAGGTTGACCTGGAAACAATAGCAGTTAAAAATTGGTTCCACGCTCCTCAAAATCTCCAATTTCCCGATTAGAGGCTTTGCTGTCGGGAATAGTTTATCGTTATACTAGGGCGAGCAAAATCCGAAAGATTTTCTTTCGAGTTCACGTGATGGGAAAAAATGGTAAATGGTTTGTAAAAATATTGTTGTTTCTAGTTTGTTTCCAGTTTATCAAAGCTGACTTCCTTTAAAATAAACCGAAAAGGGAACGAAAGGGATTTTTTCATTGAAATAAACCTAGGAAATCATTCCTGTCCATTTAGCTTCTACTTGACTCATATAGATCAAAACCACATCCACTGTTCCCTTCGACAAGCCAGGGTTTCTAGAGATTTCGAATTTCGCTACTGGCATCCTTTGGGGATACATTTAAAATAAGTTGGGGTTAACTTGGGTAGCAGATATATGAGTTTACAAACGGGTGCGGAAAATACCATTAACAGGAAGTTTGAACGAAAAGGTGGCACAGAAATCCGAAGCTTCGTAGGAATGGCGAAATATCGTTTTCTCAAATGACGCTTTAAGTTTTTTTTCTACGTTATTTTCTGTTTTTCAAATTCAGTCGAAAAGTTTTTTTTTACATTCTGTTAAAACAACACGATCACGAAACACCATTTGATGCCGAAAGGTTCATTTATTTAGATTAACTTTCTCCCAAGTGATAACAAGAATGTGATAGCCATAACTGATTACTTTTTAGACATTTCATAGAGCATGCCGAGAATTCTAGTCCATTTATGAATGAAAATATAAGATACTGGACATAAATGTTTAAATGTGTCTTTTAAGGAATAAAGAAAATAATTTGCCCATCTTTGCAGGGATATTCTTTTCGTTTTTTTTTTTTTTTTTTGCTCTTATACAGTCAATAACATCATGGTAATTTAGTGCACCTGTGGCTGTTTTTTACACTGGGTCATTCGTTTTTTCATTCGTTCAATAGACTTTGTTGCTATGGTAAGACTATAGTTTTTCTTTTCTTATTTAGCGTTGCTCTAGATGTGAAAATCGATATCGCTGATAAAATGACACCCTTGGAATTTTTTTTTTCATTCTCTATTTTGATGAAGAACTGTTAGATAGTATTTGCGAAGAAACCAACAAATTTGACACTCAAACTGGTGTCGTGCAGGAGGAAGACATATCACGTGTGGAATTACGAGTGTTTCTTTTTCTGTTGAAAACTCATCAAATGCTTCTGGATGAGATATTTCGGGATAATTAGTTTTTGCATGATTTTTCATCATTAAATTCACAAAAAAAAAAAAGAACAAGGTGAAAGAATTTCGTAAAACATAAAACTCCGTTAAGTTTTTATAAATGTTCTTGTCCCTTAATGATGTAGGCGATCATGACAGTTTCCTTTTTCTTAATTATGTGTGAATCCTCGTGACATGTTTAGAAAGTTACTGGTGGGGGTTTCTCGTTGCCTTCCCAGTAGTTTGGAATTTAGAGATATACTTCTATTAGACTGGTTACCAGCCAAGGCTATCTAGATATTTAAGCTAAATCTGGCCAGAGAAATAGTAGAGTTATGCCTTTCGAAAAGCAAAATTAGGAATTTGAATTCGGATTGCTGATATTACTTTACGCGCTGATAAGAGTTACACTGCCTGCACATCTTCTTAAAGGGTTATATATATATATATATATATATATATATATATATATATATATATAAATGGCGAAGTCCAATTGTGTGTGAATGTATTTAAAAGTGATGGTGGTGCCTTCATCGAGATCCTTGAAAAACTAATTAAAAATCTGTGGCAAACTAAGAGAATGCAGGTCCAGCTTAATCCGTTATCAATACCAGCCGTGTTGAAGATTTGAGGAGACTTGATGTTATTTGCTGGCCAGCGATAGTCAGTCATCGGGTAAGGGAAGAAAAAAGAGGCGAGGAAGAAGATAAAGAAAGATGATTTGGTAGAAGAAAAAAAAAAATGAAATGTATATGGAAAAGGCAACTAATTGTAATCCTAACGGATCTTATTCTTTTAATTCAGTCCAAATAATGGAAAGTTACTTATTGAAAATATTAGTTCAACCCAAGAAATTGTAAATTTTAAATCGAAGTTTGTTTGTATTTTATTAAATTTTTGGCGCTCTTTTGAAATTATAAATTTTAAATCAAGATAACTTACCTCAAAACAACTCCAATCCTCAGAAAAAATTGTTTTGTTTATTGGGGTGAGTGCGAATGTAGACCCCACACATAGAAATAGCGTACCCGAGTCGCCCATATTTGGAGCGATCGCAAAGATTAGCTAAACCATAGTGCAATGGAAGAACCTCACTCTTGGAGAATTTGGTGTGAATTTTAGTAAATTTTAATAAATTCTTTTTCTTTTGGGGTGAATTAATATTTTAGGGAGAATTAACAGGAAAGATCCCCCCTAACATATAAATGTTATATTAGGTGAAGTCATTAATAATTTCTTTTTATTTATCAGCTTTATTCCTTAAAAATAGGGTACAATTATATTTTATTTAATTATATATTCGCCAATTTTTGCATTTGCAATGAGTTGTTGCTACGTATCAAGCAGCTCTTCGATATCTTTCTGTAGGTTTTCGACGAATCTAGTTTTCACAATCAAAGCATTTTGCAGTCATAATAACAGGTAATAATCGTTTTGGGGTCGGGTAGGGTAGAACAGACCAGCCGAGTTCCAAACTGTTTTCTGTGTTGTTCTTGGAGTATGTATCTGTGCATTGATGGGGGGGGGGGAGAACGACATCGATTTTCGAACAAAACGTTTATGGACTCTTTGCAGATGCTGGACGTAAAAATGTGTATTTAGTATTTCATTGCATTTGAAGAACTCTAAAGGAATATTTCGACAATCCTATGAACCACATCAAATTAACTTTCTTCTATGGAACTCAGATGTTGGAGCCT